TCCACGGCTCAGTAAGGCTAGTGCTGGCATAATTGTTTCTCCATGTCTCAGCACATGGTCTTGGCATTAATAATCCATCATAAAATGATTTGCAGTGCACAGGGGTGACATTTGATTACGTGAAAGGCATTGTAGGAATGAGCATGTAGGCTCTTATGGGCCAACTGCTGGCAAAAAAAAAAAAAGGATGAAATGTACATAGTGAAAATAGCATTTAAAATGGCTTCTGAACTAAGAAAAGTGTAAGGGTGTTGCTTTGGAAGAAATCTCTCTTTTTTCTTCTTGGTTTTCCTTTTTTAAATTGTATCTTGGGGGGTTTAATGGATTAAAAGGCCAGATCTGACAACCATTCACCCAAATACATTTTCAGAACACATTTGATTCAGGAAATTCTGGATCTTTCAAAGCAAGGATGTTTACAATCCTCCTGAGAACCTTAAATTATGATGATTTCAGCATAAGGAAAAGGAGACCCTGAAATGATCAGGGAAATCACTAAGAGGCCTCCCTCCTGAAGAGCTCAGTTTTTTCATTTTGTTTTCTATTTTTTAAAGACCACAGGGAAGAGGCTGAATGTACTACCTAAGGGAAGTCCTGTCATTTTGGGTAGAAATTTATGAGATGATTGGGAATAATTCTCAAGATAGCAAAAACAAAAACAAGAACATTAGAATTTCTTAGGCTCATATACTCCACATTCACTCACGGATCTGTCAAATGCATTATGTTCTAGATAGAATATGAGCACTTTTATTACATATGAATAATCATAATGCATACCTGGGTGTGAATGTGGTCAAATCTTGGTTAGTCAAGGTTTTTTAAATCAATATTTTCAAATTAATCCACTTTCAGAACTTTAACCACTGATAGAAACATAATAATACTAGCTGATTTTATGTTACTGACTTTTCTTTCCTGGCCTACCATCTTGCAGAGATAGGTGAATTACCTTAGCTGATTATTGACTATTAAAAAAAAATTGATAAATAAAGATTTCAGGGCCTCCCCTGGTGGCGCAGCGGTTGAGCACTGAGTTGTGAGGCTGCCTGCAGCCTCTGCAGCACCAGTTCGATCCCCGGCCACCGGCAAGGGTCCCACACACACACAAAAAAAAATAAATAAAGATTTCACTTGTTCTTGGGATTTGTTATTCATTCACATAGCTACTCATTCAATAAAGTGTACTAGGCTATTACTATATGCAAAATATAGGGCTTGCAGTCATAGGGATATAAGGTTACAGACAGTCCTTGAGATATTGACATGCTATTATAGAGAGAACATGCACAAGTATCTGTAACATGACGTAAAAGACACAGAACACTAGAAGACAGCAGGCTCCCTGGTGGCACAAGGGGTTAAGATGCAACCTATGAAGATTTCGGCAGCCACTGCAGCATGAGTTTGATCCCCATCCAGGGAGCTACCCACATGGTGCAGCAGACCTCTCCTGACTCACCTACTGCTCCCCTCAGCAGTGTATTTCCGTCAGTCTGCCTGTTCTGTTCCCCACTCTGTCTCTAGTGAATCCTCTTACTACCTGCACCTCTGGCCTGTACCCCAGTTCTTGTATGCATAAATAAATAAATCTTTTTTTAAAAAAAAAAGACTAGAAGAGAAATAGAGAACTACTTTGGGAAATTAGAAGAAGTAGATATTTATAACAGAAGATTCAAGAAAAACTCATAGAGAGAGTGACAGTTGAGTGGAGTCCTGGGATATGGTCAGGGTTTCCTTAGGAAGAGTGGGGGGCAATAGCCCTTCAGGAGTAGGTCAGAATATGAGTGTGGGTGTGGGAAAAAGAGGTCCAAGCATGGATGAGGAAGAGTTAGGCTGAAACATTTAACATCAGAAAAGGACTTCAGGGAGATAAAGCTGGAAGGAGAAGTTGGGGCCAGTTGTAGTCTTTATTGTCAGAATAAAGAATTGAGACTTTAATAAGGTAATAGGGAATCATCTAAACCCTTTTTCTAAAAACATTTTTAGTTTGAAATATTTTTAGACATAGAAGAGTTGCAAACATAATACAGTTTCCAGAAAGTAGTCAATGTCATTGATGTTTCCATATTTTTCTGCTATAATGGTTTATGTAACACTCTTGCATTATACCCTTCTGGCACCCCCTTTCTGATGCATATTGTACTGTATGTCCTTTGGTGTTTTTCTAATTCAGAAGAGTCAAAGATTTGTCTTTTTTATTTCTCTTTTCAAAAAATTTTTTTTGCTTTTTTTTGGCCAGATTTGTTCCACTTGATCAGCAACCCCAAAGTTGTCTCACATATAAATTCAATCTATGTTAACACACACACATACACACAGTAACAGTAAGTTTAATGTAAAGATGCAGTATCCAAAAAAGTCCTTTGAGTCATCAATTCAGCAGAATGCTGTCCCTAAGTGTCACATTTCAGAGAGCTGTCATGGTCCTACTTGAAATATGGCAGGTCACACCAGTCTGAAAATTTGTGCTTTCCTTTAACTCAAAGAAAATTGCTTCCATTATTTATTTCCTTTGTCTTTTTCTAGAACTCATATTAGATTAATATTTACCTCTAGGATTTATCCTCATCTTTCTTGTACTATTTTTTGCCAGTCTTAGTTTTTCTGCTCTAAGTTCTGTAAGTTTTACTCTTTATTTTTACTTTGTTACTCTTGCTAATTTTGGCTGTAATCTATGTCTACTCATGATTTACTCTTTTTTAAAAATTTAGTTTTATTGTTCTAATTTGCTGATCATATTTCTCATTCCTTGTTTTTTGCCTGCTCTTTTTTCATAACTATTTTAGCGATAAATAAGCTCCCACAGTTCTCTGATGATACTCATTGTAATATTCTTTTATGTCTTCTGTTGCTTGAAATATTTTTGTTCTTTTTTGCTTGCGTTGGCCTTTTCTCCTATGCTTTTGGTTTTCCTCAGATGTTTGGTGATCTTTAGTCCATTGGCATTCATGGACAAAGAAATAGATTCATTTAGATGATTGGCAGGACCTTGCTCTGGCTGATTAGGCCTTTTCCTAGGAGAGCTTCTCTGAATGGGAAGGCTGATGGCAGCTCTGTATGAGAGGGCACGCTTCACCTGGGAAGGCTTGATGATGTATCTGCATACGCTGGAGGAGCAAGGAATCTTCCTCAACTGCTGCCTTTTCACCCTTCCCTGCCCCTCACTCTTGGCTATGGAGTTTAGAATTACATTAAGCTCTGTTCTGAGGCTGTGAGACTCACATTCAAATCATTCCCTTTTATTAGTCAGAGGTCAAAATCCCCTAATGATCCCTGCTCAGGATCGAACAAGGCAAGACTACACTGGCTGGCGGGCTGAGACATTCTGAAAGCAGTTCTTCAGCCTTAGAATGACCCAATGCCATTACCACAATAATCCTTCTGAAACACATTTGAGTATATAACCCTCATGCTCAGAGTCCTTTGGGGTTTCTATTTACATGAAATAAAACCTGTTCCCCTTTGCAGATTGTGAAGATCTCTTATGGTTTGCTGTGAGTGTTCAACTATAATCTTCCACCATTTTTTTGCCACATACAAAGTTTACTCCTCAGATTTGAACACGAGTGTGTTTTTTTCCTGCCCTAAACCTAAACCAGTTTTCCCAATGCTGACAGCTTAAGACACTCTCAGTGCACACTTCAACTCATGATGGCATCTGTTACACAGACTTCAGTGACTTCCCTTAGGCAGACACAGGTTTGTGGGACTATTTACTAAACTATATCTTCTTTCACTCCACAAAGGATTTGACATTACATAAAACAAATCTAGAGCAACAAGATAAAATAAATGAGGGACACTCAGTTCAAAGGGAAAGTAAAAAGTAGAAATAGAAATATCAGGTATGAGATTAGCCCTAAAAATTACATGACATCACATTTTGTCAACTCACACTACAGAGAGATGTACTGGAAATTTTGCCTCTGGGATGCCTAGTTGTCAAATGCTAAGAGACAAACATGAATCCCTACAGGTGTGTGGATTTTTTTTTTTAAAGATTTATTTATTTATTCAAGAACTGGGGTACAGGCCAGAGGTGTGGGAGGGGGAGTGAATTCAACAGAGACAAAGTGGGGAGCAGAATAGGCAGACAACCAAAAACACTGCTGAGGGGAGCAGCGGGCGAGACAGGAGAGGTCCGCCACGCCATGTGGGTATCTCCCTGGCTGGCCGCTAGGAATCAAACCAGCACTGCAGGGGCTGCAGACAGCTTCATTTCTTGACCTAATGCTTGATATATCCTTGTTGCTCAATGAGTATTTGTTAGATACATTGGATAACCAAATATTGATGATTAATTAGGCAAACGTTTTTGTGTGAGTGGGTGTACAACTAAACATGTATTATCATTTACATCATCATAAGCATAACAAAGGTCTAACTAACTAGAAAGGAGTCTATAATAATTATCACAACAATACTTACAATACCCACTGTGAACAAGACAAACACATTTCAGGTGTGTATCATATGACCCCTGATCAGCCCTGCAGGTATCTGCCATCATGAAGTCAGGGAAATCAAGAAGTGCAGTCGGGCATGTAGTTACTCAGAGGCAGAAATCATGCTCAGCACAGATGCCTGACCCCAGGCCTGTGATTCTCAACTTTTGTTGTGTAGTAACTTGATTAGTATTTGATAACGAAATTCATGAAGGTTGAGACTTTCTACTTATGGAATAACGTTGCCCAGTACCTTGTTCTTCCAGTTTTATTATAAAATAAACTGGAAATAAATCAGGCAAATAAAATGCTATGAAATTCATTTTCTATAAAGAAATAACATAGGACACCCTAATATAAACACACATTAAAAAAGGAAGATCATACTAGTTTTCCAGTATATACATATATACACATATATATGTGTGTGTGTGTTTGTGTGTCTATGATACAACTTTTTCGTCTACAACCAATAAGACTCATCATGCTAAAATTTTATGAGTCTCTTTTTTTAAAAAATAATTCAATTAACTTTCACTGAATTATGCTCACCTGAAAGTTGCCGAAACAGCTTCCCCCGGGGAGGGTCACATAACTCACAAAGGGAGGTCCTGGAGATGGCAGTGATTCATATACCACCACACTTTCACTTGGGAATGCGGCTCTCTGCTGCTGCTTACTTTCCCAAAATTCTTGTAACATTGATACTACATTCACTGAAAAAGACAAAATAACATGAATGAGTGTAGGGTAAGTAAAAGTATCAGGCTACTCTGCCCTCCCGCCATTAGGATTGATGATGGATCCCTGCGGTCCTGAATGCATGCTGACTCACGAGCACCTGGAGTGGGGTGCGGGCATGCGAAGGTGGGTACACCTGGGCCAAGAGACTGGGCATATAAGGCCAGGGAGGCAGAGGATGGTGTGGTGTGGAGCAGCGTGGTGTGGAGTATAGAGGAGCGCGGAGAAGTGCAACAGCGAACAGAGGAGAGCGTGAAAGCACCAACAGGTCTGCTTGAACCAGTGATTAGCATACCCGGTATGGGGTGGTTGCATTGTAATCAGCTATTAGGAACGAACATACCATGATGAAAACAAAATTTTACTTGGGTAACATGTCAGTTCCAGTTTATTCTTTTTTCACTTTTTGATTTTTAAAAAAATTTATGCCTACAAGAAATGGGGTGTAGGCCAGAGGTATAGGGGGGTATGAGAGGATTCACCAGAGAAAGAATGGGGAGCAGAACAGATGGGTCTGCTGAAATACATTGCTAAGGGGAGCAGCAGATGAGACAGGAGAGGTCTGCTGAGCCATGTGTGGGTTAGCTCCCTGGCCAGGCATCAGACTCAGGCTGTAATAGTGATAATGCTGAGACTTAACCCATGGAGGCCCCCTCAATTCCAGTTAAAGCAGAACAGATTATGTCTATAGTTGGGGGGTGAGGTAGGGAGTGTGCTTTCATTTATGAAAGAAAATCTTATTTAATACAAATATGCAAATATGTACATTTCTTTGAGTATGGCTCAAGAGGTTTGTTTCACCAATTCTAACAACATTGCAAGATATTAAATTTATCTTGTAAATTAATTAATATCATATTAAAAAGCTCATTCTTCCTTCTTTGAAAAGTTGCCTTCATAAAACTTTGCCCAGAGCTGACTCTGCAAAGCTCTTGCTCCCATTTCTCTTAGAATCTTAAACTTGCAAAGTGAAAGTCAAATTCAGAGGTAAAGATATAAGCAGTATAATTTTAATTGGGACTGACCTACTATAAGATTTAAGAGGAGAAAGGCAAAAAGAAAATTCTTTTATGCTCCTCTCCACCCCAATCTAAAGGCTAATGAAAGGCAATTGTGTAATAGGTAGGGGGTTGGAAAAAGCCATGAGTGAAACGAATAACAGGGAGACCTTGTTAAGGACCGGGTCTGTTAGAGGACTTCAGAAAACATAGTAATGGCTATAGCCATATGTTTTAGATTAAATGACCTGTGATAGCCTGCAGAAGTTCCAGATCAAATTAGTTTGGTTTGTTTATCCTGTACTGCAAATTGAATTGTGGAAATTAACAAGGATAATAGAATTGTGGAGGCAAAAGAGACCTTACAGGTCATGCTGGCAAGTCTCTGCCTAATGCAGGAATTCCTCCCATAATGTTCCTGACAGCTGCCCATCTGGCCCGAGCCTGCACACACCAAAGGACTGGGTATTTGGCACATTTCAGGGTGCCCATTTCAGCTGCTAATGGTTCTAACAGTGAAAATGTCCTTTTGGGGAGTAAGCTGAAATCTGCTTTCCTGTAAGACTCATGTAAGTGGCCAGCTTTTCATTTCTGAGGTGTTGTGGACATTTATTCCCTTGAAGGGTAAGTGATTGTTAGACTTTTACACCACTGGCCTCTGTGGCTATCACCTGCAGCTTTATTTTATTTATTTTTTAAAGATTTATTTATTTATGCATGCAATAACTGGGGTAGAGGCGAGAGCTTCAGGGTTGAGAGGATTCACCAGAGACAGAGTGGGGAGCAGAACAGGCAGATTGACTGAAATACACTGCTGAGGGGAGCAGTGGGCAGAGAGAGGAGCGATCTGCTGCACCATGTGGGTCAGCTCCCTGGCTGGGGATCAAACTCGTGCTGCAGTGACTGCAGATAGCTTCATAGTGCTGCAACTCAACTCCTTGTGCCACCAGGGAGGCCCCTCACCTGCATCTTTAAAGGCAGGAGGTGCTTGGGATCGTGGGCTTGGGGCTCACGTCCCTAATGGCGGACAACTGGAGTGTGGTGTGGCGTGTGTGAGTTGGCACACCTGAGTCTGGAGGCTGAGCATATAAGGGCAGCATCACTCAGACAGGAAGACGGCTATGGTGGCTACTGTAGCTATGAGAAGATGAATGCCGACTGTGAGAGGAAGACCAAAGAGTAAACATTTGCTGGGGACTTGATTGCTTCCAGCTTCCAAACCCCCAGTCCAGCCTGCCTGCCCTGCACATGGTTGCCACATCTATGTGAAAGCCCACCACATACTTGAAGATTGTGTGTGACACCTGCTGTTTTTGCCGCCTGGCATTTGCATCTCTCATGAGGACAGCGGAAAGGTTTTCCTTTATGAACCACATTTCTTTCAACCATGTCCTCTCTAGGGCTGAGGGGTGAGGGTCTGACCAAAGCCAGACATTTGGAGCCAATGAACCCATGACTTTTGCTGGAAATGTTGAGTGTTGCTGGGGGATAGGAGGTGTGGTGCCGCCCAAGCAAAGGGAAATACGGCTGAGAAGACAGCCAATGCTGAGAAGGGTAGAGAAAAGAAATGGAGGAGAGGTTAAGTTCTGATGGCACAGTTTGAAGCCTCGGGTTCCTGCCATACCCAAATCTAGGCTTATTGACTGGATATTGGAGTTTTCAGAACCAATGCATCTGCTTTTTCCTTAAGCTGCTTTGAATGAGTGGCTCTCACTTAAACATGAAAGTGTACCAATACAGACAAGTCCTGGGTCTCCTCAAGTTCTAGATTAAAGTGTTTCTGTTCTTGCAAACATTCTTCATGTAACATGGCATCTATGCCCTTTGGCATTCTCCTGAGTGCCTTCCTGAATGTGCTTCCGAATGTTGGAGCCTGATAACTTTCAGGGAGGCAGGAGAGTTACAGTTTGACCTGGAGGCAAAATCATTGCACAGTCACCTTCTAATTGTTAACTAGACCACCTGGCTCTTCAACCACAACTTTAGGTCACGGATCAGCTTTATGGTGCGTACTTCAGGCAAGTTCTGAAGATGCCGATGGAATTGGATGCCTGAGTATATTTAAAACATGCGGCGTTTAGTATTTAAGAAGAGTTTTGGGAAGGAAACTTGGAAAATGTAAGACTATCAGAGGGGATAACTGAATTAACCAATACAATCCACAGTGAAGTGATCAAAGTAAGATGGGTACTCACAGAGCTTTTTCATTCATCCAAAAATATGTGAAACATTTTTTACCCATTGGGGAAAGTCAAAATAAAACTAGAACTTTTATTTTCTAAACTGTATTTCTGCCCCCATCCTCTCCTCCCTCCCATTTCCATGGAAACAAGGAGTTCTGAGCTGGCTGACTTGTGCTGATTCTTGCAGTTGACCTCCGGGATTCAGCAGACATGGCCTGACAATTGAAACCTAAAACCAAAGCCAGCAGCCTCTTGCTCTGTTAGTCAACAAGGGCCACTAGCCTGCTGAGTTAGTTCATAGCTGAATAATGTTCAGCTGGTCACTGGAAAAAGCTGATGAAGGCACATGTTTATCTAGGTAAAATGACACAAGAATGTTTGGCATGTAAAGTTATGTGGATTAAAGAGTTGGAAAGTATGTACAAAGTAAAATTTCTGCATGAATGAAAGGAGCACGTTTCAAATTTTTCATCCCTCAACTTTAGAAGATTTCTTTGATAGCTTTATGTATGTCATCGCCTCTAAGCAGTGTAACATGTGTACGTGTGCACACACAATCCATCTCTCTATCTCTATCTCCTCTTGTCGACTGGGAAACTAGATGAATGGAGTGCACGGGGAAAAAGACCAGCTTGCTGTTTGGAATTCTAAAGATCAGTTTATCAGAGGATGCTCCATTTATGAAGCACATGCCCCTTTATTTTTTTGTGAAAGAAAATGTGAGAAGAGGGTCAAATACTGCTGAAGAAAACCACACAAGTTTGAAGTTAGGTATCACTAAACAGTTTCGTCTCCAGCTGCAGGTGAGCTTCAGTGCTCACCCATGATCCTGCTGCCATGTTACAGAATAAACTTGGGCAACCAAGCGTGCAATATCCATTCCTGAAACTCAGGACCAATCTGCACAAGTGTACAGCACCCCTTTATTTTGCCAGTCTCCAGTGAATTTATGCTTCCTGTCCTGTGCATTGTTCTATTTAAGTCATTCTCTTGAACTCCTACTTCTAAATGTTTCCTCTTTACTCCTCAGGAGCCATAAGTATGCTAGACAATGAATTAATAAATCAAAGAATCAATTATTATAAATAAAAGACTCAACCTTAGGACTACTTCTAGTATTAATTATTAAATTTTTACCATTATAACCAAGCAGTTAAACTGAATAGTCTACATTACGAACTCTGCTTTCTTATGTTCCATTTATTTTTAACCCGCCACAATTTGACTATCCTCTACAATATTTGACTAAAACTGTTACAGGACAACCCCAATATGAAATGGGTTGGCCTGACTCTGGGTCCTCACCTGTGTGCTTAAAAGGGACTTATGATGAGACTCAACTGCGGTTACACACATAAAGGTTAGAGGGTTTATTTATAAAAAGGGCAAATGAAGAAAGGAAAAACTCAGAAAGATTGGTGAATGTGTCCTACCAATTCCACTGAGCTGAAACCCCAATAGCACACTGAAAACCAGCAAAAAAACCAAGGACCGCCCCCCAAGGCCCACATGTCTGGTTATATACCAAGCCTGCTGCTTAACTCCACTCTCAGTTCCCAGCAATTCTCCCTTTGGTGGTGATGACATTATTGGATTTGTAGTCCTTGGTGTCTTGGATTTCTTTGGTCTGGGGGAGGGGGTGGGGTCCATAAAACCTTGTGGAGTTCATTCAGGACATCCATTCCCCCCTCCCCCCCCCCAAAAAAAAAAAAAAACCTCTGGCAAAACTCCAATTCCTAATTTAAATCCTAATTTAACTGACCTCAAGCTGCATTTGCTAGAGATGATCAATTT